AATTTTCTGAGAACTAACCACGTGCCGAATGCCGTTCTAAGGATCCGGCACATAACCCTGTGTCTGCACGTTCAGTGTGTTCACTCATTCAATCCTCACGACAACCCCAAACATAAGCAGTGTTATCATCCTCATTTTGCAGTTTAGGAAACTGAGGCATAAAGAGCTTAAAGTACTTGTTCAAGGACCCACAGCCAATAAAAGGTGGAGGCAGGACTTGAGTCCTGGCAGTTTGGTCATGTTGCTTTACTGCCCAGCACAAGTGCCACTTCTGCCTGAGGTCATCTGCAGCCTTGCCCCCTCCTAGAGGGCCAGACAGCTCCCCACGTACCCCATGTCTCTCTTGTGGCAGGATCCTCTTGCTTTGCTTTTATCCCCTTATCAACAAAAACACCCTCTGCTGATGAGCGGAGCCTCTGTGAACCCCAGGCACAGTCTCTTGCTTCAAATTATCTGCCCATTCACCTGTCCGTGTCTGAAACTCTGCCATTAGCCATTTCTTTTTCCAAGTCAAGGAGGCTCTTCAGTGCTCCTAAGTGCTTTAGGGAGGCATAGGTGCCCCTCGGAGGGGGAGCCCCAGGCCCCGACCTCCCCAGGCCAGAGCAGGGAAGCCTATGATCTGATCCCTATGGGGACCCTGGTCTGGAATCGGGCTTTCACACAAGCTGGCAGTGGTAGAATGAGGTGGTAGAAGGTGAGGGCCTGAGGCAGGAGATGGAGTGAAGGGAAAGTCACCTGCTGGCAGGCAGCCAGGCTTCTGTGGGTTACTAAGGTGGGGTGCGGGCACTGGGAGCCTTGGGTGCAAGTCCAGCTCTGCCACCCATGGCCTTGGTGACCCCAGGCCCCTCTCAGCCACATTCTGAGCCTTCATCTTAGCTCTAGGAGGAGCTGCTCCTCTAGGCATTACCATGGCCCACTGCTGCCCACCCAGCCCAAACCCTCCTCCTCTGTCCTCATTTCTGTTCTGTGCCACCATTACCATGGCCCACTGCTGCCCACCCAGCCCAAACCCTCCTCCTCTGTCCTCATTTCTGTGCCAGCTGGGGGAGGGGTTGCTGCTTGGCCCAGAGAGGCCACCTGTCTGCCGTGTCTAGCAAGGAGAGAGGACCAGGATGGATGGGTGGCTCTTCCTGCCCCTCCCCACTTAAAAAGCCCCAGCCCAAACACTGCCTTACTGCCCCATCTTGGGTTTTTACAAAGTGAAAATTGAAAGTCACCTAGGTAGCCCCAGTCCCACTGTGCAGAGGAAACTGCATTTCGCCCTGCTTTGTCATGCAGGCAGCTCGTGGAAGTTTCCCAGGAGCACGTGTATTTTAAGCCACCACGGCCACCATCTTTACTAACATACACCACATTCCTGTGGGCCATCATGCCTGCAAGGCTTCTGGGTGATCTATTTCAGTGTAACCCAGAGAATGTTCTGTGGACATCAGGACTGGGAAAAATTCCTCAAGAAAGGGTTCTGATGTCTAAGAGATATGGGAAACCATGCACAATCTGTCCACTTCTCAGAGAGTTGTAATGCATATTAGCATGTTCAAGGCTCTGACAAGTCCTGCAATAACTATGTTTGGCTTATAACTCGGCTTTTCCCAAAAATTATTAGGTGACAGAACAGCTTATCCAGGAACACCTTTTAACACTATTCATTGATTCAACAAATATCTGTTAGGTTTCAATTTTGTGCCAGGGATTACATTAAGCCCTCATGGAGCTGACAGTATGGTAGGAGAGACCATCAATGAACAAATAACAAATAAATTTATGATTACGAATTGTGAAAAATGCTATATAGAGAAGGATCAGAGTTGTGTGAGAAAATAATTGGGAAGACCTACTTTAGATTGAGTTGGGGGTCAGAGAAGACCTCTCTGAGGAGGATATGTTTCATAAGACACGGAAGTAGAGAAGAGAGAGGGCAAGCATTCCAGATGGAACTGAACATGAAGGCTCTGAGTCAGGAAAGAGCCTGGCATGTTCAGGGACCTGAAGCAGATCAGCATGGCTGGGCCACAGAGCAGGACAGCTCGCAACACTCGTGTCTCTGATAACCTCAGGAAATGCAGGTCTGTCTCTTTCTGCAGTAACAGAGGTCTGTACAAGAGCTGGGTGGCAATTTGTCACTGGTGTCCTGATTCTACTGAGCTGGGGTGAAGGTGTGTGGATAGGTGGGGAGGAAATATCATTTGAGTAACTGGGTAGAGTTTCCCCTTGTGCTTTCCAAGTCCATGTGAGCCTTCAGAACCCAGGAGCAGGCCTCTTCTGTGGCCCCAGAGTGACCCCCTTTGCCAAGCCCCAGGCTAGGCACATACCACATACAGCCCAGTTGGCCAATCAGCATCATCATCCTGCAGGTGGCATTGTGAAAGGGGACGAGATCATGGCGATCAATGGCAAGATCGTGACAGACTACACCCTGGCCGAGGCTGAGGCCACCCTGCAGAAGGCCTGGAATCAGGGTGGGGTAAGAATGAGCCCCCTCTCCCTCTCCCTCCCTTGCCTGCCCACCTCAAACCCTGGCCTCTGCAGTCAGGCTTATAGTCAGGATGTCCCACCCGACCAGTACCCAGAATCTAGGCAACTCTTGGGTGACACCCACATACCCCATCCAGCTGATGGTCTAAATATGACAAGATGGGATTTGGAAAAATAAATATCAATTCCTGACCTTGAGTCCAAAAGGCCAGTGGCAGAATCACAGACTGCAGAAGACTGGGCATGGCAGCCCAGCCCCCAAAAAGACATAAGGTCTTCTCTAAGTGCACACTGAACAGGAATCAAGACAGCTTGGGGCTACTAGAAGTCATTAACAGAAGCAGAGAACCCAAAATGAAGGAGGGGCTTGTGGTAGTCTGCTCTGCATACATTAGACACCCACCTGGGTCAAGGCCACCACGTAAGGTCTCCCAGGCTGTGCATTGCACAATCTGAGGGGGTGCCCTCCTGTAGAGTATAGTGCAAATGGTGCCCACTCATGTGCAATGCACAACCTGTGCAACTGTATGCAGGCAGACAAGCCTGAGGTATTAAGTTCAGTGCCGACGATGCTGACCAGATGGGCCTAGGACCCACATGAAGGGATATGGAGAAGAGAAGACTCACGGGTAACATGATGACTGTCTTTGATTATCTGAAGGGCTGCATTAGGGTAGAGGGAGCAGAAGTGTTCTCTGTGATTCTCAAGGGCAGAGTTGGGTTGGATGGAAGGAAGTCCTGGGAAGAGAAAGAGATTTCAGCTCATATTAGGAGCTATCTCATGGTAGAGGGGCCCAGTGAAATTTCAGATACTTTTCAATGGATATAGCCAAGCCAAGGATGGACAATGATGGGCAAGCCAAGGATGGCAGTGATGCCATGAAGGGATTCCAGTGTTAAGATCAAAAAGCCAGGCCAGAAGTTCCCCAGTTGGCTGTGCGTCAGAATTGCCTAGGGAACTTGTTAAAAATAGTTTCCCACAATCCACCCCTGACTTTCAGGGGCCGAATCCATGAGTCTACACTTTTAAGAAATTCCCCCAAGTGATTTTGAGGTTACTGCCTGGCCCTGGCCCATAGATAAGCATTTGGGGCCTTGCAACACTGGGGTCTATGTTTCTGGAGCCTCAGAGACTAGAAACTTCCCCAGACCGGGGACCCTACAGTGGAGCCCGTCCCCAGCAAGAGGACCTCCAGCCCTGCCTGTACCTGCCTCCTCATGGGAAGAAAGACCCAGCTGGCTGATCCTCGGCCATGATGCCCAGAAATGGGAATGGATTGTCAGGGGCAGACCCATCATCCACCCCTGAGCACACCCCAAGTCCCACGGCTTCTCCCCACAGGACTGGATTGACCTTGTTGTTGCTGTCTGCCCCCCCAAGGAGTACGACGATGAACTGTAAGTGTGTGCGGGCATCCAGCCCACCACCTCCTCTTCCTTCTCTTCCAGAATCTTGGCCACCTTCCTCTAGCCCACTCAGCCCACCCCCAGCTTTCATCCAGCCTGAAGAAATGGCCCAAGCACACAGCTTCTAGTAGTCATAGCTTCTAGAAAACTCCTGGGCTAGAGAAATCCTAGAACTAAGTCACGGTCCTCAAGTATTGTCAGAGCTGCCTCCAAAGCTGTCTTGTCCAAATTCTTCCTTATATATAGGAAACCGAGACTTAGATAAGGTCTCAGATAGGTAAACAGTGAAGTTGGGACAAAGACTCAGGATTTTTGATTCCCCACTCAGAACGTTATCCCCTTTAACATTATCAGAACATTTAAAGATTTCTGTGTCCATCCTTCACTCTCTGGAAGGTCTTCCTGATGTCTGACTGTATTCACTCATGCTGCATCTCTAGGCAGCCAAGACCACAGGCTTTTGCCCTCACTTGGTGGGACCTCCAGACAGCCTTGGCCCAGTCTTTCTTTCTCTGTGATTGCCTACGTGTCTGCCTCTGTATCTGTGCGGATCTATATTCTCTCCTCCTCTCTCTCTCCATCTTTGTCTCTCTGCCTCACCTAATGACATCACCTCCCCTCCACACTTGCTGGTCACACCCCTGCTTGCCCAACATGGCTGTGCCTGCCCAGCAGAAGCTGAGTTCCTTGCATGTCTTGGAGACACCAAGGTTTAGTGGCTGCTAATTCTGGAACCCAGGACCTCAGCAGGACCCGAGGCAGGAGCCGGGTGAAGGGAGAGGTCCAGTGGAGCTCTGCGTGGGAATAACTGAGCCTTGTTTTGTGTTTCCTGCTCTGCTCTGTGTATGTAGCTCTTCTCGTCCCTCCTCTGCAGCTGAAAGCCCCCAGCCAGTTCGAAAGCTCCTTGAAGACCGTGCTCCTGTGCACAGACATGGGTTCCTCCTGCAGCTGGAGCCCGCGGTGAATAGGCAGACAGGCTGTGGGGCCCCGTCTGTCCATGCTGCGTGCAGTGGCCATTTGCTGCCCATGCTGTTGGCAGGTTCTTTGGACTGGCATCTGTAGGAGTGCATGAGGCACCATCCCTGCAGTGCGCCGCAGGCCTGCTACTAGCCACACTGGAATTCTGTCGGGCTCAAAGGCCTTTCCACTCAAGGGAGTGGAGCAGATCTCAGTCTGGAGCACTTGCGTGGGACCCAGGCATCCTGACACACCACAGCCCCTGGGACCTGCCTCGGGTCCCACACAGCATCCAAATGAGCAGGATGGAGCACTGGGCACCATTCCCTCTTGGGCACAGCTGGTGCCTCAAACCAGGCATGCTGGGCTGGGAGAGCCCATGGGAAGCCCAGCCTGAATTTTCTCCCAGAGGTGTCCTAAGAAAAATGTGCCGCCCTTTCCTGTGACTGCCACCCTGCAGGGAGCCCCTGCTCCACCCCAGCCGCCATGCTTGGCTAGAGCCAGGACTATTAAGAGTTTTTAAAGGCTGGTCCAAAGAACCAGGGTTGCAGATTAGAGTTGCTCATGTCCTGTTGTGCCCCGTCAGGGCCTAAGCCCTGCTCAGACCAAACTGTTCTCTGTGCCTTCTCCCTCCCTTGACTCTGGGCTCTATCTGTGGGACACAATGTGAAGCCTACCTTTGGGATGTGTTTCCCACCCTGTGACAGGGCTGTGCCCATGGACAGAGCTGGCAGGTGGCTGTGGAACTGGTGTCTGATGTGGCCTGAAGCCCACAGTTGGCAGTATCTGGGGCAGACCTGGGCGTGGACTTGTTGATATTTCTATTACAAGTTTCCCAAAACATTAGGGCCTCATGCTCCCAAGACAGTTGGCCTGCTATACCATGTCCTCTGGGATGGCCTAAGTGGCCCTGTTTTCTGTCACTTGCTTTTTGCAAGGAACCCCACACTCTTTCTCCCGGTCCCCTCCTTCCCTCTTCCTAGGTGTTCCCCTTGCTTTCTCCCTGGCCTCCTGTGTGCTGTGGCTGTGGCTGGTGTGTGACCATTGGGGCCCACACCAAGAGGGGCCTCTGAAGTTTGGCAGGGCCTGTTGTGCCATCTTGCCCTGGGCCGAGTGGGCTACCTCAAGGCCTGCACCCACCTGGCCTGTTTCCTCTTCCCCATAGGACGTTCTTCTGAAGTCCAGAAGGAGAAACCGAATTCACCCCTAGAAGACGATGAGCTCTGGACCCACCTCCCAAACACAAAAGCCAATGACCGTCCTTGAAAGAGCCCAGCCTGCAGGCACCAGAAGGCATCCCTGTAAACCCAGCACCCAGGAATTTCAAACTGAACTAGGCCCTGAACTAGGGCTGGATAAGGAACACTGAGGGCCTCTCTTCTCAGGGCCACCATGGGGGAGGGAGCAACCAGTAGCTCCGGAGAGGGCCTTAGGGATCTGGTCCTGTGAATTTGGTCTCTCCCAGTCCTGGGGGACTCCTGCCTTAAGCCCTAATAGGACCCAATTCCTGAGTCTCTCTCCATCCCTCTCCTCCCGCTCCTGCTGTAATTGCTGCCAGGATCACTGCTGCAAGCCTTACTCGATTTCATTAATAAAATAAGAGATTTCTTTTCCAGTTTATGAGAGTGAGTGTGAGTGTGGATTTGAGCAGCAGATTCAAGACTGTCAGATAAAAAAAAAAACCATAAGGTTTCGCCCCTATTCAAGGGTGGTGTTTTAGTCTGTTTTCTATTGTTATAACAGAATACCACAGATTGAATCATGTATAAAGAAAAATTTATTTCTTACAGTTCTGGAAGATGGGAAGTCTAAGGTCGAGAGATACATCTGGTGAGGGCCTTCTTAACATTGCAGAGGACACCTCGTGGTGAAAGGGCAAGAGCATGTCAAACTGGCTTTTAGAACAGACCCACTCTTGTGATAACGCATTAATCCACTAATCCATGAATGGATGAATTAATCCATCCCCGAGGGCTGAGCTCTCATGACATAATCACCTCTTGAAGGCCCTTCCTCTTAATACTGCTACATTGTGGATTAAGTCTCAACAGGAGTTTTGGAGGGCACAAACATTCAAACCATAGCAGTGAAAACAGATCTCAGTGCTGTGATCTGGGTCTGGTATGAAGGACGTGATCCAATGGCCAGGGCTGGCTTGGAACAGAGGGTTGAGGCAGCAGCAGACCAGCTGCGCTGGGCTTCAGTATCTTCTCAACAGAGGTAGCAGGAAATGAAGTCCATGTGGCAGGGACTATGATCAATTCCAAAAAGCATAGCTGGAGGCAAGAGCCCCAAAGGTGCAGGGTACCCCAGCTTCTCTCAAGAACAGCAAGGCCACTGCTGCTTCTGAGGTGTGAGGTCACCAAGACAGGATGTGAGGGAGCAAGGTGCAGGGGGCACTCTCTCCATGAAATGACATCCAGCAGAATCACATGGAGGAGGAGAGGGCTTAAAGCAGGATGTGTAACTCCAAGGGCCCAGCAGGGGGCAAGTCAAGGCCTTCCTAGTTACAGGGACCAGAGACACTAGCTCAATGGAAGAGAGTGGGGCTGTGTCAGTACAGGCGTCTCATGGAAATCCAAGACGAGGAGACATGGTGTCACAGACCTCCTGAGAACTGGAAATGGAAGGTGGTTCCGATTTAAGGTGTCTTGGAGGAGCAGCTTTCTCTGTCCTTTGGTGGTTACCTCACAGCCTCTCAGCTTCTTGCTATGTGACAGCTAGGCCTCCTGTCTCTGCCACCAGCTTCCTCTGCTTCCTCAGAGCTCAGCTTGAACCTGGCATCATAATCACCTGTCTACCTCTAGGCAACCTTTCAGCTCTATCTCCACCACTGTCTGGCTCAGCCTCCATTTCCCAGTTCTTAATTCCCAAGGTAGAATCTGACTGGGCCAGCTCACCTGAGTGGGCAGCCCTTGGGTCAGGGACAATCCCAGGTCCAATCAGCTGTGGTTGGGGGTGGAGTTTCATCCCACGTAACATGGCTGCTGAGTCAGCAGGGACTGTCGGCAGCAATTCATGATCCCCAGCCCTGCTAAAGGATGATTGCAGTGTGCTTCCTTCTCCACCAAAGCCTGCGTGGGAAAAGGAAACTGACCAGGGTTCCAAGGAAAGGTACTGAGGGGAGAGTGCCTCGTGTGTGAGGGGAGCACAGGAAAACAGCTTCCCTGAGGTGGGACACTGCAGGGAGCCACTCAGGGACACCCACCACCTGTTCACTGGGTCGAGCCTCATGTTCAGTTGAATCCCCCACCTCATTCCACAATGGGTGGAACCCAAGCTGGATCCCGAGGACTCAGTGATAAAACAGACACATTCCCTGCTCCCAAGACCTCCCAGATTCATGGTTGGGGGAAGGGGCTCAGATTAAAATGCAGAAACTACATGTGGGACTGAAAGAAATCAATGGGAGGGACAGAGAGAGAGGAGAGAGATGGCCTGACTTTCCAATCTCTTCAATGGAGACAAAGCCATGGTGACTTTCTAATAACTGGCTCCCAGAGCCATGAAGAAGAATCCCCTGTGTTTTCTTATCTAGTGTCTAACCTGGCTCTGGACACAAGTTCAAACCAAGGTAGGAGGCGGGAGCTCATATTTGCTGACACCTGATATGTGCCAGGCCAGGGCTGGACCCTTGTGTCTGCCACCTTAGGCTGCAATACCTGGGTCTAGTGCATGGCCTCCTCAGAAGCCAGTGATAACAGCCAACACTTAGACAGCATGGACTGTATGCCAGGTATTGCTCTAAGCACTGAGCTCATCTACTCCCCTCAACAATCTATGAGGCAGGTACTATTATTGTCATCAAACCCGTGTTATTAACAGAAGATTGGTGTATAAAGAGTTAAGTGGCTTTTTTTTCTTCCGCAACGAGTTTACTGCCAGAACACAGGTGTCATGAAAACCACCACTAAATCAAAGCCAAATGGGAAAGGAAAAGACTCATTAACATTGTCATAATTGGACATGTAGATTTGGGCAAGTCCACAACTACTGGCCATCTGATCTACAAATGTGGTGGGATCGACAAAAGAACCATTAAAAAGTTTGAGAAGGAGGCTGCTGAGAAGGGAAAGGGCTCCTTCAAGTATGCCAGCGTCTTGAGTAAACTGAAAGCTGATCATGAGCGTGGTATCACCATTGATATCTCCCTGTGGCAATTTGAGGCCAGCAAGTATTATATGACCATCACTGATGCCCAGGACACAAGGGACTTTATCGAAAACATGATTACAGGTACATCTCAGGCTGACCGTGCTGTCCTGGTTGTTGCTGCTGGTGTTGGTGAGTTTGAAGCTGGTTTCTCCCAGAATGGGCAGACCTGTGAGCATGCCCTTCTGGCTTACACGCTGAGCGTGACACAACTGATGGTTGGTGTTAACAAAATGGATTCCACTGAGCCACCCTACAGCCAGAAGAGAGGCAAGGAAATCATTAAGGAAGTGAGCACCTACATTGAGAAAATTGCCTACAACCCTGACACAGTAGCATTTGTGCCAATTTCTGGTTGGAATGGTGACAACATACTGGAGCCAAGTGCTAATAAGCCTTGGTTCAAAGGATGGTAAGTCACCCATAAAGATGGCAATGCCAGTGGAACCAAACTGCTTAAATCTCTGGATTGCATCTTGCCACCAACTCGTTCAACTGACGAACCTTTGCATCTGCCCCTCCAGGATGTCTACAAAACTGGGGGTATTGGTACTGTCCCTGTGGGCCAAGTAGAGACTGGTGTTCTCGACTCTGGCATGGTGGTCACCTTTGCTCTAGTCAATGCTACAACTGAAGTAAAGTCTGTTGAAATGCACTGTATTAGTCCGTTTTCTGTTCCTATAACAAAATACCCGAGACTGGGTAATTTAGAGAGAACAGAAGTTTGTTTGGCTTACGATTCTGGGACAGCTGCATCTGGTGCAGGCCTCAGGCTGCTTCTACTTGTGGCGGAAAACAGCAGCCAGCAGAAGGTACGAGCAGATCACATGGTGAGAGAAAGCAAGAGAGAGAGAGCGGGGAGGTGCCAGGGTCTTTTAAACAGCCAACTCATGTGGGGCCAATAGAGCAAGATCTCACTCAGGCTCCCGTCCCCCAGGGAGAGCATTAATCCATTCATGAGGGATCCACCCCCATGACTCAAACAGCTCCCAACACTGCAACATTGGAGATCAGATTTCCACATGAGTTTTGCTGGGGACAACATGTCCAAACTCTATCATGCACCATGAAGCTTTGAGTGAAGCCCTTCCTGGAGACAATGGGGGCTTCCACGTTAAGAACGTGTCTGTCCATCCAATTTCCAGTGTTAAATGACATTGCTCCTTTAAAGTTTCAACAAAGCCAATAGCCAGAAATGTCATGAGGATATGGCAATGAGACCCTGAAACTAATTGTTGGCTGCCTGTTTCCCAGTCTTCAAACCACAGGAAGAGCCCACATTTCCCAGCTTAATCATCCAAGGCAGTGAAACTTAGTGGGAAATTTGAAAATTTATGGGGGCTTTTTTCTGGTTGTCATAATGATAGCCGGCGGGGACCAGGGATGGTAGATGTCCTGCAATGCAGGAAGAGTCTTGCTCAATGAAGATTGCCCCACTGGACACTCACATGGATGAAAAGCCTGAGTGTAATTATTGGAGCCCAGAGCCTAGCTGCATTTTACAAATTCCCACAGCTTTAACATGCGTGGAATTTCCAGGAGTGTCGTGCAACAACTACGGAAATGAGGAAAGAATGCACTTCCAGAATCTGTAGTGAAGGGTGAAGATTGACTCAATGTTGGTGGTAGTGGAGTTGCAATACCACATACCTGTTAACAGCCTGCATTTGTGAGGGTCCCACATGAGGTGATTTATGCATGGACACACACATCTGAGTATTTTTCCTGTAGTCCTGCCCAAGCAATTTTATGTTGAAACACATGCTATTTTGTTTCACATTTATTTTTTCTTTATCTTACAGTTAAGCTATCACATTGAATTAAAATATATTTGTGCGAGAAAAAAAAAAAAAGAACGTGTCTGTCAAAGATGTTCATCGTGGCAACATTGCTGGTGACAGCAAAAAAGACACACCAATGGAAGCAGCTGGCTTCATTGCTCAGGTGATTATCCTGAACCATCCAGGCCAAATCAGTGCTTTTTATGCTCCTGGGCTGGATTGTCACACAGCCCACATTGCTCACAAGTTTGCTGAGCTGAAGAAAAGATGGATCAGCATTCTGGTAAGAAGCAGGAAGATGGCCCTAAGTTCTTGAAATCTGGTGATGCTGCCATCATTGATATAGTTCCTGGCAAGCCCATGTGTGTTGAGAGCTTTTCTGACTATCCTCCTCTGGGTCATTTTGCTGTTCATGATATGAGACAGACGGTTGCTGTGGGTGTCATCAAAGCAGTGGACAAGAAGGCTGCTGGAGCTGGCAAGGTCACCAAGTCTGCCCAGAAAGCTCAAAATTCTAAATGAATGTCATCCCTAATACCTGCCACCCCAGTCTTAATCAGTGGTGGAAGAACGGTCTCAGCACTGTTTATCTCAATTGGCCATTTAAGTTTAATAGAAAAAGACTGGTTAATTATAACAATGCATCATAAAGACTTCAGAAGGGAAGGAGAACGTTTTGTGGACCAT